TCATTATTACAACTTGAATGATAATGTTTGTTCAATCAAATAATCTACAACCCAAGCGACTGTATAGAATTTATTTTGTTTTTCTCATTCGCATTGATGACAAGGCTTTTTGCCAAGTCCATAATCAAAGCCATCCATATTCCAGTCGTACAAGCGACTATAAAAAGTTAATGTAATTTTTAATGGTGCCCTCTTCGCCTCAAACCGAACGCGTCGAGTAAGCCGGACGCTTCTACTTTACTTCATTCTACTCCGCACCTTTGTCTCCAGCATTTTCCCGTCGTGACTCAATAAATGTACAGCGCCTTTCTGACAACTCAATGTGGCGTCCGAACTGCTCGGAAAAATTTGTTTCAATCTATTTTTAAGATTTCCGAAAATTATTCTTTCCATTAATTTCTGATGTTCATCTTTTTCCCAACTCTGTTAACTGCAGACACTGCATCGTTGTTGCAATAATCACGTTTCAAGCGATATAACCTCCAGTTTTCATCAGGTTAACGTTGCATCCGATCTTCGAAAATCGTTCAAAAGAGCGACGAATGTGCGAAACAGCAGCAGCAACAACAACAACAACAAAAACTACTACTACCACTACTACCACTACTACCATACCACTACTACTACTACCACTACTACCACCACCACTACCACTACTACTACTACTACTATTTTAATGACAAAAATACACAGGTGTAGGCTTTAAGAAAGCTTTAGAAAACAAGCTTCGCGTATAGTGTCCTTTTATAGTCCCAGTAAACAGAAAAAAGCTCCCTCAAAGAGGAGAGTAACAAAACTAGGGGAGCCCACTCTTGATTATCCATAACATTTTATTTGAGACTTTCATCAGAAACCTGACAAAATGAAATTCCAATTTTGGGACCGGCAAGAGAACAATTGACAGAAAAGGAATCATTAGTTTAATGTTTGGTTCAGTTAGCAAACACATAAACGACAATGTAGGTTCGCGTAGAGTGTCCTTTTAAAGTCCCAGTAAAGATAAAAAGCTTTCTCAAAGAGAGAGTAAGAAAACAAGGAGAGACCACTCTTGATTATTCATAAAAACAACAACAACAACCACTACCACTAATAATAATAACGATGATACTTGTCCATAAGAAGAATCATATATGGTTCTTTATAGACGATGCTTGGGATAAGAATACCGTGAAAGCGGAGCAAGCGAAAATGTAGAGGGTCTAAAAGCTGGCAGGGTAAATCAGGGAAATGTACGATGCAGTAACTGAAGTTGTCCCTTTTAGAGTTAACACACTTTGTAAAAAAAAAAGGAAAAAAGAAAAAAAAAACTCTATGAAACTCTCTGCCTCACAGAATGCCTTGAGGATATTAGACATCACTAGGAGTGCGCAGATGACGGCGCTACTGGGAGCAGGTCATCTGCTAAAGAAAGTACTGTGTCTCTAAGCTGCGGGCAGGAGCTGAGGTCTGACCATTATCACCCGCCAGAAACATCGAAGACTCGGAGACGATCTCAAGTAACGATAAAATCGAGACTAAGAATATAGTCCAAGTACTATTTTAAACTAATAAAAAAGTCTTTCAAAAGATTAGATTATTATTTTTTTTAAAATTTAGAGTAGAGTATTACGCTGCTTATAAGACGCTCCGATGAATTAGACGCTCCCAAAAAGTTTTGAAGGAAGAAATCGAAAAAAAAAAGTTTTTTCCCTTCCCACTATCCTCAAGATTACCCATGTAATAGCATAGATTCCACATTAAACCCTGACTAATCATGACAAATTCTCCACAGACCGAGAAGAAGTAACAAATTCTCACTAATCGTGACAAACTCAACACACACCAGGATAATGGACTAATATTTTAATTAGATACTTCGCCTTATTTCTACATCCGAATATGGATCTCTATCTATAAAAGGCAGGATGTGTGTGTGTGTATAACGAATGCACGGCCGCAATTTTCGACGGATTTACACCAAAATTTACATGCACATGCTTGAAGTTAGCAGGAAGGCCAACAACAACTTTGCATTTCCCAACTCCCATCGATAGTGGAAATAATCGATTTTTTCATGCTTCTACGGCACTTTTCATGTAGTTTGCGGCCATTTTGTACTGGTCAGAGTGAGAGCCTATAGCTGGCTGCCACGAATAGACAGGAAGATTCTACTGGCCAGCGTGAGAGCCAACAGCTGACTGACACGAATGTTAACTAGCATGCTAGCATGCAAAAAAATTGATAGCTGCATTCGTCACAAGTGGGAAAAATTTAAATCTGCATGGCACTTTACTCCAATTGGCTCATTCGCTTGCTAAAACTCAACGTTGATTCTGATTCCGCAAAACTGGGTTGGGTGTGAAAAGTATTTGTTGTTAACATTCTTTTTTTTTCGTCGGTTTTTCCAGTTACGAGTCCTTTTTAAAGCTGATCGTTTTGTGTTCATTTTGTTTAGTTCTTTTTTTTCGTAACAGATTTAATGTTTAGTATAGAGGTTAGAAAAAATTCGCAGTGTGAGATAGGCAAGAAGTAAGGCATGTAGCAACATCAGCACGGCAAAGGGCACTCTTTTAAAGGCAAAGAAGGGCAAAAGTATTCTAAGTCAAGTGATATCGTTTGCTGTATGAGTCGTACGATTTTTGAATCAAGCACGGGCATGTAGAAATAAGGCGAAGTTTGATTTATGTGTCGGTTAAAACATACGATATTGCTAACCGTACTGCCAGATCCGTATACCAGTATTATGGCTTGAAATGCTCATTACTAGTAATTTTGACAAGTTTATCAAAAGTACAAAGTTTACGGCCTACGGTGAAAACTTTCTTAACTGGGGAGCTGACACTCACCCAGCACCCTAAACTTATAACCCCCGGTCACCGACCTTCAAAATATAGAAATCCGGGTGTTTTTTTAAAAAATATTTTATAGGTAAAATGCGTCTTACAACTTGTCACACGACTTATGTTGAGTACCCATATCTGATTTCCTCTCTAGAACAGAGACTCTACGGAATGATATGTGTATAACCCACTCAGTAGTTTTAGACGTTTCTAAACTCGAATCTCAACGGTCAAGCGGAAGTGACGGTATCCCAACAGTCGTCCTAAAGAAATGTATCGTGCTGGCTCCAATTCTCTCGCAATTGTCTTGCTCTTTCCAGATCTCCAGATTTTTTGAAAATCCTCCTCTGTTTTTAAGAATTCTGGAGAACCCTCTGATCCCTCAAATTATCACCGTATTAGTCCTTAACCGTTTTTTCTTTCTTTTTTTTTTTTTGCAAAGTATTCGAGGCTGTTATCACTGTTGAACTGGTTAAGCATTTTACTTCTCACGAACAAACAATCCTCCCTAGCAAACAATGTAGCTTCCGTTTCGCTAGATCTACCGTTGATGTGTTAATATTCATCACTTTATTTGTACATCAAGCTCTGGATAAGAACATCGAAGCTCGAGCTGTGGCTATAGATATAGCAAGGGCGTTCGACAGTTTTTGGCATGGTGGTCTTCTCCGGAATCTCCAGTGCTGCGGTGTCATAGGACGAATGTTACATTTAATCCAACTAAAATGAAGATCATTTCAAACGGTGTCGCTTCCAGATGCATTCTCACAAACGGTGGCGGGAGGGTCTCTCAAGGCTCTATTCTGGGTCCTAGGCTATTTCTGATCTTCATCAATGATCTCACCGATGTCATCCATTCCCAAGTAAATATTTATGCAGATGACACTGCCATTTACTCCTGTCTCAATAGCAAATCCGACAGATCTGAAAAAAGAAACCTAGAAGCTGCTCTTGAAAAGGACCTCTAATCAATAGTTAACTTGGACAAGAAATGACTTGTAAATTTTAACAGGCATCTTGACATCAGTCATTTTCTCACCTTGACAAAATACAAAGATGGTTTTGTAATGTGGATCAGGCATTTTCCCCATTTTCTCCACCACGGTGTCCCGACTACATGTATTCGTATCTAGGGCTCACCCTTTTACTCAATCCTCCCTATTCTCAGTCTTCTCTTTCACTTTCACTCCTTGTAATTCCCTGTGTACTAGAAGCATTCCCGCCTTGCTTGTGGTGAAATGATTAAAAAAATATTATAAGCAAAAAATACGGCAATTTTTTAAATAATAAAAGCTTTCATCTACAAAAAATACAGAGGGTCTGTTGACAATAACTAGGCTCAAGAATAGACACACCATTTATTTTTCTTATTTATGCCATGTCCCTACTGGGTATCGGCGGCCATGGCTGTCTACAGCTTCCTCTTTCTTCACTATCTGCGAATTGTCATGATGTCTTTACGAAGATAGACTTACAGTGAAATCCCGCTGAAAACGCTAGATCTTGTTGACAATAACTAGGCTCAAGAATTGTTAGACACACCATTTATTTTTCTTATGCCATATCTCTACTGGGTATTGGGGGCCATAGCTGTCTATAGCTTCCTCTCTCTTCCCCATCTGCGAATTGTCATGACGTCTTTAAAAAGATTGACTTAGAGGGATGAAAACGCTAATTCTTGTTCTATCATTAAGTAGTGTCGGGCTCGGTTAATAGAAGACCTTTTGGGACCACTGAGCACTGCAAAAAATACCCTTCTCGAATATGAAATAGGTTTCCGCTTTAATTAACCCAAAAAGGGTTGATAAACCTTAAAGATACGAATCAATCATCTGACAAATATAATAGAGTTGTTTCCATTGCTTTGACTAGAGTCTTTTGAAAAGTCGTCCTTCTACATTGGCTGAAGCACGAGGTAAAGAACTGCGTCTATTCTGCTATTAACCCCATGACATTAGCCCAAAAGTAAATGAAGCGGACAAGAAATCGAACTCAGCACGCCAAATCCACTTTTCCCATCGATAACCGTTACACTGACCGCATATCCACAATATATCTGAATATATGAAAATAAAACCAGTTCGTCTCATAAATACGAAAAGTGTCTGGAGTTTGTTAAACAATAATTGGACAAGAAAAAATTGGCTATCATTCTTCTACTAATCTTACGGCTGCATCATGTTAAATCATCGGTTCTCGTACGATCACCGAAGTTAAGCAACGTCGAGCATGGTCAGTACGTACATGAATGACTGCTTGGGAATATCAGGTGCTGTAAGCTTGGATGTGCATGAGGTGTAATGGATAATGGCTCGGAATTGTAAATCGCAGAGCCGAGTTCCCTTTGTGTTGGATTCATTATGTTCATTTATACGCAAATACCCTTAGGATAGGTATGAATCCACCAATTATCCCTCCAGCCATGGGTTAAATTGTAAAACTTGTATCACTAAACCATTATAATGTCCAAAATATTCTTACAATCTAAAAATATGTTCTGGCTTTAAATAACCCGCAAAAGTTTGATAAACCGTACAACACGAAACAAGAAAAAAGAATTTGTCTTCTAGGTGTCGGGTTCTTCTTTGTTAGCTGGGTAAGTATCGAGTATGTTATTTTTTTCATATCTTCACCAGATATATATTTTACTTACATAACATGAAAAAATATCTGCATAAAATTATATTAATTATTGTCATCCGTATTAGTCGTGGTTCAGTTGGTGTCAAAAACATTACTAGCATTAATAGCGATGAACACCAATTTCGTAATAAAAAATTTAAAACGTGTGCAAGTAATTCAAATAAGTTTGTTTTCATTGCAAGAAATTTCCAGAAAGATAATCGTAAAAAAAAGGATTTTTAAATACAAAAAGCCGTTTTATACTGACATAGTCAAATTTTGTTATGAAACAGTAACATCTATCATGACATGGTTTAAGAAAAAAATAAAAATAAATGTTTTCATTATTTATAGTCAAACTCATATCCTCATCTTTGTTGTTAAGGTGAGAACTTTTCGGCTGTTGTGTTTCCCGGCTGTCTTCAGGTGTCTGTCGATGTAGGTCGTCATCAGGGAAATTTGAACTGAACTCTTTATTCAATTTGTAGAGGCAAATTGTTTTCCTTTTGCACTCCATAGCCACGGAGATCTCGTTTTTTTTTTCAGTACTGCTTCCTTTGAGTCTGAATCTTTACTGAATGACCCAGAGATTGAAATCACAGTTACTATGCCACTAGATTCATTAAATTACGCATTAATTCCTCTTGGCCAGTGGTTTCTAAAATTTCCCGTGAAAATTTGTCTGCGCCTCATCAAATTCTACGTGATAAAACTACATTAAAAAATAAAAAAAAGAGAGAGAAGTTTAAAGGGAGATAACCGCGGATTCAAACATTATCATTGATAACTCTCTCCTCAAATTTGAGGAGCCTAGTTATTATATTCTTAATTCTTTTTAATAAAGCAAAAATATCACAACGATAGAATCGATCTGTAAGCATTTATAACTATTCGTGCTGGGACTTAGGAATGCAATTACAAGTAATCCATAACAATATTTTAAATTTTGAAAGCATCTTTATTTTTGGCATATGAATTTTTTTAAAACTTGGGAAACCACTGCTCTAGTCTATTGTCCCGGGTCATACACATTTGGAATCAAACAAAAAGCAAAAAATAAAACTATTTTCCAAAATTAAAGTAACCATAAGAGAAATATAAGATTTGATGGTAGGAACGAATCTTTTCTCTTGGATAAGACGATAAGTTTGGACTTGTTCTTTTATAGGACAGGCATTTCCTCACCAGTCATTCTGTTTTGACCATTAGTTGGGATCAAGTGACACCATGTTTATTTCTATTCCCGTTACTCTTTAATGAAGATAATATCGATAACGATAAAGAAGGAGATCAATAATTACTTTGTTGTTCTTAAGAGCCATCACCCGGCTCTTTTAAATATTAGCAGCTTCCAAATTTGGGTTTTCGCTGTCTGATAAAATTCACAATCTCTATAATGATTGAATCTATTGCGTTCAGCATCTTCAACAATCGATATTTTGTTAATGTGATAACGGTGTTGGTACTTTGCATTTTTAGCCGCGAGGCGACAGAATTGAGCAGTTCACATGGAAATTGGACGTTAGAAGCTTTTCAAACGACGGGATGTTTTTAACATTGGGTGATTGTTAATTATTGAGTTCTCCATACGGGTTCTCCTGCTACGTTGCAAGAGAATTCGAAATTACAAAATTCTAAACTTTCCAAAACAGAAACGCTCACACTTGAGACATTTTTTTCCAATATTTTTTGTTTCTCTGTCCATAAAAAGTAACCTGTTTCAAAATTTAACATCTGTAGTTGTCAAATCCGCCGACTTTCGGTAAATTCTAGTTGAACTTCCTTGTTCATTCGCTAAAAATCTATTTTAGCAGATATACGAATATTTAGACACTTTTTTTAAAAACGTTAGCTGATTTAATTTAAATTTTATGGTTTAGTCTTAGTTTATGGCTAGTACATTTTAAGTTTAATATCGGTCGAAGCGAACGCGCCACAAATGCTGATCTCGTACAAAACTGCGATTATTGTCGAAAGTTGCCGAAGTTTACATGGTATCTTGACATCTTTCTTATAAAAAGCAACATGTAGGAATTCAAAATTAGGTGGGAGGAAAATGAGTGTTGATCAAGTTGTCGCAGTTTGAATAACTCAAAGTAAAGGAGGAAAGAGAAAACCCGACTTTTAGTAAGAGAATAAAGCTACATGAGGGAGGAGGAGGAGGAGAAGAAAGAGTGGGAGAAACTAAAAGTAGACAGAGAGGAAAATAGAAAGAAACAAGGAAAAAAATAGAGACCTACTGACATGTTACCTTTATACTGTCGCTCCTCTCTGCAGTTCAAACAAGCCATTTCAAGAAAGAGATTTCCTCGAGATGATCATTGTCTTAAAAGCGGAATTGATCTTTCAACACAGTGCACAAAATTGATCTAAGAGCTGGTGTGAGGCCAATGAAAGCCACCTTCAGTCACTAAATAATGATGATAGAAAAACGTAAATATATCGCAAAGCAGGGTTGCCAAATCATCCGAAACTCTATCCATTAAATGATTATTGACTAGCCCCAAATCTAAACGTACGAATTAGGTACTTTATGTTAACAGATTACCTCATAAAAAAAAAAAAAAAAAATACGACTACTGGCAAAATTTGCTGAAGTTTAGATAGTATTTGTTCATTTTGTTACAATTAAGCGACTTGTATGTGGCAAGTTTTTTTACGACTTATCAACATATTGTGGGTTATTTAAAGCTTAAAAATAAGTTGAACTGTAAGATTAACTCTTTATTTATAATTTAACCGCAAGCAAGGTCTGAGGATGGAAGAAACCAAAAGGTAATAAAAGAACAAGATTCAAGAAGACAGACGATAACGATTGACGATATATTTACATTTTTGAAGATCTTTGCTGACAGGAAGTCGGAAAAGAATTCGACAAGCGAGATATACAGGAAAAGAAACTGTCAGCATAGAACCTACGGTTATAACTAGCAATTTCAACAGTTTGCTTTTAGAATAACAATGATTTCTCCAGATACAAGTCCTACTATTTAACCCATATCTGGGGGGAAGAGATAGATTTATACATTTCCCAAGGTTATTTGCGCGTAAGTGGTTGTAACAAATCCGACTAAGATTCGAACATGGCCCTACGATTTCTTATTGCTGACCTCTACCATTACACCATCCTCACATTTTCTTATGCGTCCAAAATTGCGTAGGAGGAAAATTGTGTTAATTAAGTAGTTGCAGTTTTGGGAAACTGAAAGAGAAGAAAAAATAGAGAAAAATATCTCAGCGCCATAGAAATTTACATTGCAGTGGGTGGGGGAGAGGCAGTGAGAAAGCGAGAGAGAAAGAAGAAGCGTGAGATAGAGGGAGAAGGATAAAGAGAGGAGGGAGAGGAATAGAACCCGACATTTTTGTTAAACGAGGAAAAACATAAAAAAAGAAAATTACTTTTCACCGTTTCTCTTAAGATTTCTCTTATACATATATTTGTATTGTATATATATATATATATATATATATATATTACCAGTCAAATAATAACTCTCCTACGAACAGAAAGAATTTAATTTCAGTAATGTTTAAAAAGTCACAAAAAAAAGGTTGAAATTAACGGTATGTTCAATTTATCTTAAATGATAAATATTGTTTTAAATGACTTAGATTGCTTTATGAAAACTATATTGAATTTAGAATCTATCTAAGCAAACAACTAATTTAAAGATGCACCGAACAATGTGTTAAAAACGTTTTGATTGTCAGTCTTGTAGAAAGTTTACTTGAAAATATTGGAATTTAAGTTTACTTTTAGATGAACCTAATAATATTAATGTCACCCAAAATTCTAGGAGTTGCCATAATATATTATTTTTCATTTTTTCTAATCAGTTCATCCCAAGTAAGGTGATAATGTCACTAAAACGCAAGGAGTTACTGTGAGGGAAAGAGAAGGAGCAGACTTTAGAAGGAACCAGAAACCCAATCCTAAACAGGAAACAAGAGATAAACCTTTATTCCTGTTACAAAGACGGAGGAAGAGTGTGAGCTGGACGATAGACGAACCTATTTATTCTTATTGGTGGCGGAGAGAAAAAAAATTATATAAATAGTGAATAAAATTTCAGAGTTTAGGCGCAGACGTTAGGAGTACGGAGCGGAAGCAGACTTTAGAAGGAACCGGAAACGCAATTATAAACAGGAAACAAGGGATAAATCTCTACTCTTGTACAAAAGACCAAAGGCAGAAGTAAAAACAATGTTGCTTCGACATTACTTAATCTTGTGAAATTGGAAGTATGTGATGCCCATGACATTATGAAGACATTAAAATGAACTAAGTTCCTTTTCTATACGAAAAACAATTCTTCTATTCGTCATGGTAATGGTTCTGATGAGCTTTTCCTCTTTGGTACCAATACTTTATGAATTTAAACGTACTACTTGATTGGCGGCAAGGTCTTAGTTTCTTACAACAGAAATTTCTATGCTAAAAGTTTCATCTCTCCAAGTCTCGTTTGTGGAACTTTGTTCTAACTTCTTACTTTCTGCGTCAAATTTGATCTTCAACAATTTAAAATTTAATGTCAATCGCCATCTTCTATCTTCTTAATTTATGTTCTTTTATTGTCCTTTCTCCTTAATAATGTCTTCTTTTTCGCATATTCTCTCACATTGTGTAACTTTTGCGTCTTAGTGGCTTTATTGCCTT